AAAAAAAGGAAAGGGGTTGCCAAGGTGGAGGAGGTGCAGGATAGGGCTCTCACTTTTACCCGCATACCCGTGTAACCCGAGTACCCGCCCGTCCGGGTAGGGACCGGGTAAACGGGTCTTACCGGGTAACACGGGTTTATCTGGGTACCCGGGTAGAACCGACGGGACCGCGCCTGTATGTAGGCAATTTGAGTTACCTGCTGTTACCCGGGAGGACCCGTTTACCCGGTTCCTACCCGGGTCACCCGGGTACCCGCCGGTCCGGGTTTTGAGAGCCCTAGTTCCCCTAGCACCCTCCTGCAGTGCAGGAGGGTGCTAGGGGAACAAGAGAATGACCACTTCTTTCTCACGGCCCACCAGCAAGAGCCATGCAAAGAACACAATAGGAAGGTGCCAGATCTCAAGAATAAGTACAAGAATGAGAGAGCTCTCTGCCTCACCTCTGACAAGAATGTGTAAATTGATTAAGTTTAACCACTGTCTGCCCCTTGCCTTTTCCCAAAAGATAAAGAATTGCAGTTGCCAGTTGCCATATTCTATCTAAGGTTGGCGAATTTTATTATTTTCTAAGGAATCCAGATATTTGCCCTAACATAACAACAAGTAGCACTCTGAAGCGGCCAGTGCTAGTCTCATTATCATGTGCCGTTCATAACGTTCCTCTTGTACATAGAGTACTTCTAAACAAAACAATACCTTATCAATACCAAAACAAAATTTCACTTGGTTGACCATAAAGTTACCTTGTTATTTAATACAATTACTACTTGAATAGATTGAACAGCAGATTCATTCTATGAATTGATCACCATGAATACAAATATATGTAATACTATACATAACACATACACATTAGATTTTAAAAAGTTACCCACAACCTACAACGTACGTTAAAAATCATACCAGAGCAATTTGTACTGTCCATAAAAACACGAAGAATAAAAAGTGACTAAAATACAGGCAACACACAAATCAACCCGTCAAATTCATAAATGACTGACTACAATGTTCAAAACAAAAAGAAAAGACGCAAAGAAACACCTCCAGAAATGTCAGGTTTTGTTTGATAAAATAAATTACACACCAATAAAGATGACAGTTTTAAAATATTGAGGGAATAAATTAACCAGCAACAAACTATTCTACTAATGCTGCTAAAACACAAGCTAAAGATCAAAAATCATACCCCCCCCACCCCCCATTATGACTTTCAGCAAATTAGTGATACATTCCCCTTACAGGAAAGCACGCACAGCTCTCTTCATGTAACATAGCAAAGGAGAAATGTCAAAGAATAGAAATAAAACCTGGTGATGACCAGCATCACACATACAGTTCCATCTTGCAGACAAAAGAAAAATATGCTCCTTATCTCGAGAAACTTTACATAAGTAGGAATTTTGAAAACCAATTACATCCCCCCCCCCCCCCCCAAAAAAAAAAGGGGGGGGGGGAGTTCAACCAAAAAGAAAGGTGAACCACAACACTATTTAACATGGATATCAAAATAACTGCATCTAAATTTCCTTCAAAAAACAAATAGACAACAATCTACATGTTAGAGTGATTCAAGCGTCATGGAGTATTACAGAATGATAATACTAACGTAACATAGCAAATGAACAGTAACATCAAATAACACATGTGTGCTTGATTAAATATACTAAATTTCCTTTAAAAACCAGGATAACACACAAACTGTGTAATACCTACACAAAATTTACATGAAGCAAATCAGTTGAAGGACACAGAAATTTTTGAAGCAACTATGTGTCATTACAAATTAGCAATGCTCCAATGCTAATATGTATAATATTCTTTCACGGATTTCATACTACATATATCTAAAGAAATTTAAGGACAAAGAGTAACTATCAAAATATTACTCTTTGCATCAAGATCACTACAACACCCTGCATAGTAACAGATGATAAAACACACATTTAAGGGTTTAGCCATAACAACTGACAATGAAATTATAAAATAATCACAAGGAAAATGCATACACAGTAACTAAGCAGACTGATGCTTAATGTGTATAACTCAACAAGACATCATTTTTTGTCTCTAGCCATCTCAAATAATGCTTATTTCAAATGCTAGCTTGGAAACATTACAAAATTTACAACAAAACCAACAAGGCCTTTAGATCTCTACAAACACAACGGCATCGTACATTGAACATTCTACATCTCAGAAAAAATATTTAAAGAATAGATATCATATTTAGCTAGTTCATTAAAATCTGATAAAGGCCACAGTTTCAAGTTTTTCTTAAAAAGGGTGGTTAATTAAAGGGGATCATTACGCTTACCCTCTGATTCACACATAAAAAAGTTAGATGTGCTAAAAATCATGACAGAGAAAACACATTACAAGGACTTGAAACAATGAATACCTTCATCTTTTAACCAGTCCAGTCAACATAACATACGCAGCATGATAAAAATACACCATTAGCAAAATTGTAGTTTTAGATTTATATTTAGTTTCTGGAAAAGAACTGAAAGACCCTTTCTATTCTCTTCGTGTTCGTTTAGGTCTCGATCCAGTTGAAACATCCTGTGTACCTGACCGAGTTTTTCTTCCAACCTGAACTTGAGACTGGGCAGTAAGTTGAAGAGAAATAGCTTGAGTATTCAGTTTCTCTGAAAGGAGGAGATCTTTGAGTCCACACATTTTACGGCTGCCCAAAGTGAGCTTTGGTCTACCATCTTCTGTGTGTGAAAGACCTGACACAAAATTAACATTCGATTTCCTTTTGACCACTAGTTTAGCAGGAGTAGGGGTGCTTTCAACAGTTGCTGAAGAAACAACGGAATGGAAACCATTTGAACCCGTCTGGAAGAAGCACAAACTTGCATTTAACAAAGACCCTCTGTTATAAAATTACCATTACACCAAACTACCAAACAATTGTTTAAAAATGGGATAGAAAAGCTATAGATTGATAATGATGGCTCACCTTCTTTCCTGCTGGTTTGGTCAACGCTGTGTCAACTTCTGAAACATCTGTAATTGAATCATCCTTGCCACCAGCTACAAATGGTTCACCATCCCCTTGAAGGAGGAAATCAGGATTGAGAATCTTTTCAGAACAAGCTGCTGTTAACGCTTCAATTGATGGATGCACAGAGGCACTAGATGATCCATTGCTAGGACTTTGAGCAGAGTCACTTTCCAGAGCTTTAGTATAGTTGTTATTGTTTAAATTATCACCAACTTTGCTAGGCTCTTCTGTCTTCTCCATATTTCCCGAATCTGCAGTGCCTGATCTTGAGGAGTTTTTATCTTCTTTCTGGAAAGGTAGATTAATATAAATAGAATAAATAAGATCAGAATTTTACTTGTGTGTCATGAGAGAGGGGAGAAGAATAAAACTTTTCCCTCACCTCAGATGAGTGCTCTTCATCCAAATCATCTTGAAGATCAATCACAAGTTGAGCTCTTACAGATGCATCAAATTTAGCAATAGTATTAACAAGTGGTTTTGCCCAGCCTATGTGTAATACAGGAGTCACAGAACCTTCTTCCCATTGACAAATACCATCATAGAGTCTCAAGAGATGTGCAAAACATTCTGGATCTTTGAGGATTGAATGAGCATCAATTCCAGAACCAACAGCTTTCATTACATGAGGGATAAGTTCATTGGCAATATCCATGAGCTCCTTGTATAGTTCTTCATCATCTCGAGAATAGTTGTACCTATGAACAAAAACATTTGGCATCCACAAAAGAAAAAAAATACTGCATACTTTATCTTGAATTTTATTACAGAACTAAAAACTACTTACTCTCTCAGTACATCAGCTGCATTGGCCCAGCTTCCTAAGGCCTCTTTGTACATCTTTTGTCTGAAGTAATAGCCACCTTGATATGTATACGGATATACATGTTGGTTATTATAAAACTTTCGTGAAGCATCAACAGCTTGTGAAAATAAATCTGAACAATGAGGACGTCCAGAGGTAGGATTGATTTCCTCCAAATCTCCTAAGTTTCCTGCAATATTTGACATTTTGACAGAATGAAATAGTGAAAAAAACTAAGACCGCAGTAGAATATTTTTTAGTAAAGTTTCACTCTACCAAGGGCCATGGGATATCGTTGAAGATATCCTCTATCATACAGCATCCACATCAGCTGCTGCTGAAAATCTGCCACTTCCTTTATGTCAGTCGTCATGTTGAATGAGGGATTGATAGAGGAAACAAGTGCTGTCACTTCCATATATCGGTCACATATTACTGGTTGTCCATTAACATACAGCCATGATAGTGATCCAACACTAGTTCCAATCGGCTGTCCTCGTTTATCTTCATTGCCCTTACCTAAATTGTAACGAGATAGTTATTTTTTAACAAACATAGTGAGAGTAATTGAAAATAATGTCTTAAGGAGAAATTTGCAATAGAAGGAAATATATGAAGACGATGATTTACCATGCCAGGTGACTTCAGCTGTTTCTCCGCCATTCTCTCCAAATACAACCCAGGCATGATCCTCTGACAATGCCAGATGAACATCATTAAACCCCAGCACTTGACAACCAGCAACAACAGCCAGTGCCACTCCAAAACAATCCAGCTTATTTCCTGGAACAAGCATTAATCCACAGCGACTTAAAACCAACCACGACACAACATGCTTAGACAATGTTATGCAATATAAGAGAGGTAACACGATTAGGGCCACTAACAAAAACAGAAGAAGAGTGGCCAAATTGAGTATGAATTTATGGTAATGCACTGGGTGTAATGCCAGAAAGGAAGACTACAAAGTTTTTGTTTGTTGACAAGGGTAACAACTGACTAATGGTACACCTACAAATATCATGATTGCACTAGTACAACAATAAAAGTTCTTGACTAAGATCATGCCAGTCTGACGGACTGTGAAATCATTCTAATGACACTTAAATAACTTTCTGCAAGTGTTCACCAACCTGTCAAATAGCTGTATATGGACTGAAGGTGGGCCCTGTCTTTGTAGTAACTTCTTGACAGGGAGTTCCATATGACATCCGACACCTTTTTGACGAGCTCTCTGGTTGCATATTTACTGTCGCCGTATGCAGACAAGTCGACGGAACCCAAAATGATGGAGCGGAACTGGGAGTACAGAGCGTCAACGATGTGGTATTCAATTTCGAACTCTCCACCAGAATCGTCGTCCGTCTCGACAGGCGCGTCCTTCATTACGGGGGAGCGATGGCATGTCAGTGAATTCTCGACAGCGCCACCGACGATGGACAATAATGCTAAATCAGGCTCTGATGATTTTTCAACTTCGTCGGTAAAAAGCTGAACGACAGACGAAATGTCACGAAGAGGGAATAGCTCGCGATTTACGCGCTCTAAACCCGCCATCTCTTTAACTAGTTTTGCACAATAATGAGCGTCACATTTCACATCACGAACAAAGTTGCATGGGCGATCTCTAGTCGCAATTCACACACGTGAAGATTTAAACCGCTTTTATTTCACCGCAAACACAGCCAACACAAAGTTATTCCTTCACATTTTGTTGTTATGCTCGGTTTTCGGCTACTTGGTCCGCTGACGCACATCGGCACGGCACATCTTTCAAGCAATGACCATCCACAAGGCAGTGGAACAACTCGCCGATCGGTTTAACGTGGATTCCGCAAGGCAACGTTTGCAGACGATGGGAAGTTGGCCGTGTCCGTGACTACGGTTTGTCTGTGGTTTGTGTTGCAAGCGACGATGATAACTCCTATTTATCCGTGAAACTTGTCTTGACCAAAGTACGTGCTGCTGGAACTATGGAGGCACATACTTCACGCGTCTTTTTTACTTATTTTGCTCATTCTTTCTGCTCGCAGCTCGTGAAGTCATTGGGCAAGTCGGCGCCGCGGCCCGAGTCCCGAGCTCCCTGAGTTCAATCCCAATCCGTAGACCTGGTGCTATAATAATCCTGAAAGTTGTGCTAAATATTCACCATGGCGCAAAACGCTGCCAATGGAGATGTCGTGCAGGATGAGGCCGCAGCTCCTGCACAAGCAGATCAAGGGGTGAGTTTGAAATCCTTAGAAACGACAGTTTACCGATCATGTGTGGTTATGTACATTCTGTGCTAATTGTGACACATCACTATTCAATGTGACTGGCAGGCAACAAAAAGTGATCAATTTTGTTTTTTTTTACAACTACGAACTTCTGTTATTCTTCTCTTCTTTTATTGAACTGATTACATTGAGTTTTCTTGAGATAATATTATTTAACTTTGTTTGCTCGTGATGATAAAATTGATGAGTATATTCATTTATCTTTCTGAAATAAAGGATTCTTGCTTTGTTCAAATTTGAATGGTCTTCAGTAAGCACAATGATATCAAATTGTGTGGATGTTCTCCCAATGATTCCCTTTTTAAAATATTTATCCTATGCAATAATTGTTATGTTGTAGGAAGTACAGGGCCAACAGGACCAGCAACAAGCCAGGCAGCCCACTGGGATGGAATCATTCTTTGCAGTGACTAAGTCTTTAATCATTCGTGCCCTTGTCATTTACTTCATTACATCATTCTTCCGGAAGCCACAAGCACCAGTTGCACCCACTGACTCTGCTGGTGGTGTGCAGTTTAAAGGAAACCTTCCTGCCTTCAATTTATTTGAAAATGGCACTGCCATGGTCAGTAGAGATGAGTCACATCATCTGAATCAATTTTGAATCAATATCACCCCAATTTCCTTTAAACTTTCGCATTCCACAGGATTTGTATGTCTTCATCTCAGAATCAAAGAAATTTTCTGACTTTGACAATCATGAAGCTTTAATTTGGAGGAAAAACAATTTGGTTTATGGAGACTGGTACAGTGGTCCAAATGGAGATGGCAATTATGTTCTGAAATCCCAGATTAGAACATCTGAGGTATGTTACACTCAAATCCAAGTTATTATTTATTTTATCAATGTCCAAAACTAGTATTTATTTTTTAATCCTGTATATTTTTAGGCAGTGCAAAACAATGGATCAATATATCTTCATGTGTATGTGATGAAGCATGGCAAGTCACCAAGACAGTTAGAATTTGGATCTTACAGTTTCAGACAGTTAAATAAATTTAAGCGCAGGCGCTATACCAAAACTAAAAACCTTCTAACTGGAGAGACTTCAGCTACCCCGGAAGAAGTTATGGTAATAATAAGAACATGTTTGAGTTTGAAGTCTCAAATATGTACTTTTCAGTTTTGTTCTTGTAAATAATACCCATACCTAAAACTGACATGATTGTTTGACTTCTATATTAAATTCTTTATGCATTTTCAGAAAGCTGAAACTATGAAAGAAGAGGTTGTATCTCACTGGCATTCAAATCTAACCATTAATTTAGTGACAGATCAGACAAATTGGGCCCAAGGAGCAGTTCCCCCTCCTCTGAACGAATGTATGTATTCCTTTCGGGGCTACAGTTATGGGGATTCATATTAAGAAACTATACTGTATCTTCAATTATTTTCTCTTCTTCAGTTATTGAATTTGTGAATGGCACACACTATAAACCTGTAGTATACTTCAATGATTTTTGGAACATGCTTCGAGACTATCAGCCAATCAACTCAAGTATCAAGTAAGTCACCGCAGAAAGTTTTCTGTGATTTCAATCAATGTCACCATTTAATTTAACTTATTTGTTAAATTCTTTTAATAAATTTTCAAATTTCTGCACAGAACTCTAGATTTAGAGTTAACATTCCAGCCACTATCTCTCTTCAAGTGGCAAATGTATACAGCCCAGTCTATGAGAAATAAATGGACTTCAAGTGTGTTTGGTGATAACTTTGCTGAAGAAGAAGATGAGGATCAAGATTCTCTGAAAGAGGCTCTTCTTGAAACACCTGCATATCTCCTTATTTTAACTGCAGTTGTATCCATCTTACATAGTGTTTTTGAGCTTCTTGCTTTTAAAAATGGTATGTATTCTCACTGCATGTAGTCAACTCTTGATATACATAGTGCGGGGGTCCCAGTTCGCGAGCCTTTTTGCTGTCATTCGCGCTCTCTCAGTCTTCTGGGTCACCTATAAGTCTCTCTCTATTGCACCGACTAGTGCTGTCGTTATCTGTGACCCCTTATATAGTGTCTCGGTCAAGTGCAATCATTATTAGTGTTGTGAACGGTCGCGCTATATCAAAAGTTGAATATTTATCAGAAGATTTTAATTCTTAGATTTTATCTCATATGCTCATACATTGCAATTCTATTTTTTTCTTTACCCCCCAGATATTCAGTTTTGGAACAATCGCAAGTCTCTAGAGGGATTATCAGTCAGATCAGTATTTTTCAATGTCTTCCAATCCTTGGTGGTGCTTCTTTATGTTTTGGATAATGATACTAATACTGTTGTAAGGATAAGCGTTGGCATCGGCTTGCTTATTGAGATTTGGAAAATTCACAAAGTAAGTACAGAATATGGTAATTTTAATTAAATCAGCTCTACAAAATTTGCTACATTAGCCAGAGTTACTTACCTGATTATCTGTTTTCCAGGTTGTTGACATTAAAATCAACCGAGAACAGAAGATTCTGGGCATCATACCTCGTATTTCGTTTGCCGATAAGGGTTCCTACACAGAGTCAAGCACTAAGCAATATGATATGCTAGCTTTCCGATATTTGTCTTGGGCTCTTTACCCTCTTTTAGGTGCCTATGCTGTTTATGCTCTTTTGTACATGGAACATCGGGGCTGGTATTCCTTTGTTCTTAACATGCTGTATGGTTTCCTACTGACATTTGGTAAGAAATTGTACTTTTCAACTTAAGTTACTTTGATAGTGAGCCTTTTTGTAATATACCTTTTCACCATATTATTTCAGGATTTATCATGATGACGCCGCAACTCTTCATTAATTATAAAATGAAGTCTGTTGCACACTTGCCATGGAGAATGTTGTCATACAAGTTTCTCAACACATTCATTGATGACATCTTTGCATTTGTTATCAAGATGCCCATGATGTATCGTATTGGCTGCTTCAGAGATGGTTAGGATTTTCTTGCTGTTTTTGTGTTAACAAATTGAAGCTTAGTTCATGACTAACTTCTTTGGTGTTTCAGATATTGTCTTCCTTATCTTCTTGTACCAGAGGTACATTTACAAGATTGATCCCACTCGTGTTAATGAGTTTGGGTTTTCGGCTGAGATGGAAGAGGAGGCAACTAGAGGTGCAAGTGGACAAAAACCTGCCATTGAAGGAACCCCTAATGAAAACACTCAGCCTAAAGGCAAAGGTGCCAAGAAAGATGACTAAATGTTCTTTAAATCTGATTTTTTTTTACTGTACAATAATTATTTTAAAATAATATATCTGTTGCTAGTTATTATTTGTTTAGCATGTTAAAGGCCTTGTATGACTTTGCTAAAATGTTGGGACTTGTTTATGTAAATCCAAAGTCTCAACAAAATTTCTTTTTTCCCCATTGTATCACTATTTTGGGGAAGCAAACGTGCTCACTCCTTAGAACAAATTAAAATTTTCACCAAAAATTACTCCCATGAAATGGGTTACCTGAGATTGAACTGAAATTCACTATTTTTCTCCTCTTTTATTTGTTTACTGAAGTAAAGATGTATATTTTTCAAATGTGCATTTAAGGAATGGTGCAGATGTAGTTTGAAACTCAACTGTGACTTACAGTATTACTTTTTCAGAAGTTTTTGAAGCAAGCTACTACTTGCTTTGTTTTTCTTAACTTAAAGAAAATGAATAATTTTATGGAGAATGTGTTAAAGCTGTCATTCTCACACTTAGTCATGTAGGTTTGAGTTGCCAAAGCTCTGAGAAAATGACATTCTACTGTTCTTTAGATAACGTGTAATAATTTGACGACCATACACATTGCACAACTGATGCATTTCCTTATAGTCATTGAGTTAATACTGAAATAACCTAACCATAGGTTAATAGTGACGGAAATTTATTGGATCTGATATCGGTTATTAATCAAAATTTGGTCATCTCTAAATTTAATGATTATCTTTACTGAAAATTTGTGTGATTTGTACAGGGATATGATATTCCTACCCTTCCATCACATATTGTGATAGGTTTTAAGACATAACTGTGTGTGATGTTCTATTCATACATGTGATCATTTAGGCAACTGTAGAAAGAATTTTGCTGATCATAAATTTAAATGATTTTGTGTTTTGTGACCATGCTTCTGGCTTTGATAATTGTCTATGAACTGCTTTGTTGTCATAGTTTGTGGCTCCTATGTCACTTTTATATCAGTGTACCGCATATCAGGATTGTTAATTTGTTTGGAAAAGGTCATCCTATTATAAAGTAGAAATAAATTAAATTTTTGTTTGTATGTTTGAGAATTTGGATGGAGTTTGAAAGTTTCAGTGCAGATGTTGTTTGGTGGTTTGCTTTATTGACTTTGTGTCTTGTCAGGATGCAATTTATGGGTCAAAACTCTATGTACAACCTCTGCATATTGTGATTGGATGTGTTATAGTGAAATTTGTTCATTTTTTATACACTGCAAGTAAGGCGAGCTAATCCACAATATTATGTGATTTTTGTTTTACTCCCATTGACCTTCTATACTCACCTCAAAGAAGGTGAGGCTACAAATAGCTGTAAATATTTAACTTTAGCTCAACCAAAATACCAACTACAAAAGAACAAATAAAATTACTGTATCCTAGGATTTGTTGTATCTTTTATTTTTAATTTCCAAAAATTAGCCATGGGTAATGTCGTCATCGTTACAAAGAATTTTGACAGTGCACAATAAACATAAACATGAACCGACATGAACCTTCCCGCGGGAGGCAGGCAACGCAAGGGACGCGACGAACATTGAACGCCTCTCTGCTTTGTTAACATGCTAATGTAATCGCCCATCAAGTGCGAACCATGCAGGAGCAAGGACACCAGAGTTCTGGCTACGGGGCTGTAGTGCTTTAGGGACTGATCAGAAACCACGTGGACTTCAAGGGGATACAAACATTAAGCGGTCCCAAAGGGATCAGGACGGTCAGATCATTGAATTCCATAGGGACACCATGCTATTTGTACCCCGCCTGTAAGTCCAAGTTTTTTTTCTGACCGAACAGCCCCTATGCGCTACGCGTATCCCGACGGTAGCGCCTGCAGCGCGCTGGGTAGGCCAGCCCGCTAAACAGCTGTGTGGAGCGGGCGGTGCATCCAGCGGCGGTACGTCTGTTCTTGAGTCCGTGCGCGTGTATACATATTGTATACAATTTCAAACGTAACTGTAATTTGTACTTCAATCAAACCGTTTAAAAACTGAGTTGGGTTGTGGTGCAACCCCCTCGGCCGTACGTACCGGGTGTTGCATAAAAGACACAGGTGCGGGCGGGTTTGCCTATACCCGCTTTGCCCGTAAGGTGCCATAGCCCCTTGGGTACACTTAAGCCCCTGATGGGAACATGGGCGGTTGGACACTGTATTTTACTTGCCAGTCCAGAAGCAGGGCCCTTAAGGTCACACACGAGCTTCAAGGCGCTGCAGGGCCTCCAACATGGTGGTGTGTGAAAGGCTGTTTGGGCTATCCCGAAACGAAAATCGCGATGCGCGACGAGAAAACGTTGTCCGATCGCGTCCATGTTTGTACCTACCTTCATTGAAAGGTCAAATCTATCATTTAAAGCACCGACCGCGGAAATCGCCGAGCTGGAACCCATAAAAATGA